AGTTCGTGCATCCGAAGCGCTTTATCTTTTTTTTATCTTCTGCAGAACGCTCAAACCTGTTTTAACAGTCAGAGATGTATAAATACGTATAGAAACGTAAAACAAGTGTTTGAGATTTTCTAAGACTTTGGCATTGTCATAATCGACCTTCAAGGTGCTAACAACTGTGTTACTTTCAACTTTTATTTGATCATTCACTGTGAATGAACAATATCATCTTCGGAAAAAAATACCCGATCAAAACTGCTTGTCTATTTGAATCTACCACTAAATCTGTTTAGCAGTATATTTTAACTTTCTACATAAAACGTTGCACAATGAAAGGAAAAGTAGGTCGGTTGGTCACTGATTTTTACAACTGATAAATTAGCTGATAAGAAAATAATCAGCATACTTTCGTTAAACTTATCATTATTTTATTCTTAGTCAACTTTATAAAAATATCTTAAAACAAAAACAAAAAACTATTCGGAGAACAAATCTTTGGTTACACGCGTAATGTTTGAAATATTCACATCAAGTCAAACATTTGATTTTTGGTTTGCATGCTTTTTGACATTGATATATTTTGGTAAAGACATCAAAATTACCAAAAAATCGAATAATTGATTTAAAGATTTTACAAACTTTTCATAAAAAGCATAATTGTGCGCAGTCTTTTTTTTTTCTTATATATTCCGAAATGAGTGCAGTATTTCCAGACAATACAATTTTGTACTAACAGCTAAAGATTTAGAGGCGCATTTAGTTTATCCAAATTTGGAGAGACAAAAATATGACTTGCCACCCCCACAAAAAAACTTTTCATTTGATCCAATTATTTTAACACTACAGGCAGATCTTGTACAACAGATTAAAACAATTATATTTTTTTAGTGAAAAAATCCTATACTTCTTGTGCTTTATACTCCAGATGCTAGACAAAAGCATGAAACAGGGGAAAGTTATACTTTATTAACAAAAAGTTGCAAAATTATATATTAGGATTGATGCGTTGTAATTCCATAAAAAATACTTCATAATTTTACTGTTCAGTTTGAACTGTATTCAACATTTTTTTAACTGTACAGTCAACGACGAGAGTTACATGCATATACGTATACATAATTACATATATAATCATTATTATTATCTTTTTGCGACGACAAATATTTTTTTTTCATGCGTAAATGAAAACATAATTATAAGCACAAATGGTATGGTTTTATATAAGTGGTATTACGAAAGTCAGTCGTTTTATATATATGATTGAATAGAAAAACAAAGGATATGGGGTATCCATCCATGACATAAAATTAGTACATGCACAGCAAACAAACAAAAAACACAAAAAAGAAAAGGAACAGCGCTTTTATTGCTGTTCTTCATCTCAAAGTCGCAGTGAGGCCTTCAACACGGAGCAAAGTGCAAGTTTAAGAGATTGCTCCTCTCTGAAGTTATTCATTGGAACTTTTTCAGATCTATGATAATCTTTCAATTAGTACACCTTTAAGTTGGAATTGTACATATATACATATAGCTATTGTCCCAGCTTTAAGGTATAGCACCAAATAAGTATTTAGGTTTGCTTCCTCTGTCCTCGTCATTTTTACTTCAGTTTTGTATTTTATATCAAAATTTTTCTTTTCCGCATCATAAGATCTTCCTCCTCATTCGTCAGCTGTTGAAGCAGGGTAAAAATAAAAAAGAGTATGAGACTAATATTAGGTTGCGTACATTATTATTTTAGTAGAATTATAAATTGTCAAAATAATGTTCTTGCACGTTAAACATATTAATTTGTTCATTTTGACACTTTAAATTTATATAAATTCACTAATTGCTTTCATTAACGGAAAGTGTTTAAAACAAATATAAATTGAGTAAAGTCCATCATAAATAAGCGACCACTGAGATGTCCACCGGGTCAAGTATCAATTACTGTCAAACTAGCGCAGCATCATGGATATCATACCGCCCCGTGACCGATGACACGTTTGGTGTGAAATTGGAAATGTCAGACCAGATTAACTATGAAATATTTCCGGATTAATACATTTATTAGGCGACGATTATAATATTGAATTAATATTTACTAAAATTAGTATGTTCTTTAATTGAGTTAAACATCAAGGTAATTGAAATTGGTATTAATCCAGGTTTTCAAGTATATTGGTTTTAATGACTGTTTACAGTAACAATACAAAACATTATAACAATGCAATTTGAAAGAAATTTACATAGAAATTTGAAGAAAAACTTCCTTACAATATCAGTGAATTAATTAGATTTAATATGAAAAAGGAGATGTGGCGTAAACGTCGTTGAGACAGCATACCAACACAAGTAACCAAAAGACATGAAAAGGGCCATATATATATACTGTATGCAACAATAGACTACAAAATATGTCTTCAATAATACTGTCAAAAGATTCAAAAGGGATTTTTCGAGTTAATGGATTATTTCTAATTCAACTTGATCAGTTAAAGAAACCATGAAAACTTTGGGTCAATTTATTTGTTCCTTACAAATAAGCAAGAGCTTAATTAACAAAAGGTAAAACTTGCCATGTGGATAATCATATTATTTAAACTAACGCCGTGAGTTTGAACGATATTAAAATGATAGTGCTTATACTAATTTTGACATGGAAGCCCACTGCCTGAAGGAGATAAAACATGAATTTCATTTATTTTATAATAAAATTCTTCTTAAGTTTTCAATCTCATGTCAAACTGCATAATAACCGTGGTATATATATATGTATAGAAAGATATAGATATCTTCAAACAAAACTTTTCAAAGCTTTGCATACACTTGTTGCTTTGAATAGTGTAATATTAAATACAAATATATCATGTCATGTGTGTGTGTATTTTTAATTTTTGTTGTGGAAAAGCGAACTGCACATTACCCGTGCATATTTAAGACTAAATATAACATTATTATAAGGCAGTTTCAGTAATTCCGTTTGACCAGATTACGAACGGCTTTTTGTGGTATACAACAAATACAATCGGATAGCATCATGAAACAACATTGGCAAATTGATCATGTAATAACCATTTCTATATGACCTTTTTCACTTACTTTTATATATTTTCACAAATTTTATAAGAAAGTCTACAGATTTATGTCCCTTATGGATTTGTCGATCTGACCTTCACACTCGTCATTTCTCCTCGAAAGCTAGAATACCCTTAATACCATTAAGCTGCGTGGTCTACGACTAGACATATTTTTGTTTGGTTTTTAGATATTGTTGATATTGATAAAAATGCATACAAATACAAATAGCTGTCAATATTGATTAAGTTTTGTAAAAATGAACGATGACAGAAGAATTGTCATCCCTATTCTACCAAGAGGAGGGTTTCATTCAATTGTCATCCCTATTCTACCAAGAGGAAGGTTTCATTCAATCTGTGTGAAAGCGCAATACTCAGTAAACGAGACCGATTAATGCAGTAAATAATTATATCGGACTCTTTAGACTGTTAGATCCCCGTGGTCTTTCCTTTATTTTTTTGTAAATCGTTTAATTAAAAAAAAAAAAAAAAAAAAAAAAGCTTTTAAAATATCGAATTCTGTCTTAAGGAAAATGAAGTAGTACTTCCCGTCATGAGCTTTATGTATATATACTTTTCCCAGAGAATTTTTATATAACACTCGACTTCGATCAAATGGTACTCTTGAAAATTTGTGTGTTTAGAGTTTTTTGCTTTTTAATTTTACAGAACGGAAGTCGTTTAAACTTCCTTCTCGTTAATCCTGGTGTTTACAAGGAAAACAGATGTCATTGAAATTGTGAATATTTTTATGAATGAAGGAATGTTTTCTTACTTATCGAGAGCGTGGGAACTTTCTTTCCACGTGCAATCTTCACGCCAAAGTGTGACTCAATGCAGCATTGTAAATTACGAAATCTCCAGCAAATCTTATTAACTGACTGGTAAAACTATCTGCTTAAAAATCAAATGTTTTCTTGGGTATACATTCTGTATAAATAAAATCTGAAGGATTCATCAGAATTGCAGATATTTACGATGACGTTTTAAATGTTCTGCTTTGTCGCCGCAATACCGGACAGGAACGTTGGTACAGACGGGAAAATGATTAACGTCAAATAACTAAAATACAAAGAAGTAATCGGAAACGACTTGTCATCAAGAGAATGTTAAGGAATGAAAAAAGCCTCAAGTCAAGGGCAGTGATATAGATACAACAATTATTGTTCCAAAACCCTGAACCATAAAACTGACAATGTTTACTTTATAAAAATACCGCCTAAAATACAAAAAACAATTGTTTGAACCTATTTTTTTTTAATGAATTGTAGCTTAATCGATTAGAAAATATTATCTGATATTATTAATAGGTGAATGTTTTGCGCATCATTAAAATCTTGTAAATGTAAAACGGTTAATAGTTTTCATTATTGATTACAGAATTTTTGCAAATTATATTTGAAACCGCCAAAAATTGGACACCTGCTATATAGCATTATCACATAACTTATTTATTACAATTAAGAAATATGTGGACAAAACAAAACTTGTTTATCTTTACTAATTTCACCCCTTTACGTGAAATCTTTATCTTGTGAATATTTGTTTTTCTTTCTGAGATCAATGGGGCGATTATCGGAACAAAAACTTGCTCAGGTTTTATTTATTCAATAAAATCTTATTCAAAGGTATATCAATCAGAAATGGAATATTGAAAAATTTGCAAAGATTGACTAAACATGCTAAAGTTTCTGACAAATATCTTTTCTTTCTCGTCTTGCGTTCTATGTTGTTTGTCAAACGCCATGGGAATTTTCGCGCGAGACGAATATCACGATTCCACACTTTTGCGATATGGGTAATATAATTTTTGATTGGCAGATTGGTTTCGGGGATTTATTACCTATATTATCATGTACACCAACCTCAGCTTCTGCTGGAGGAGGCGGGGCATAATACTGTAAACAAACATTGGCATTACCATCTGGTATAAATGGACGTGCCTCAGAATTAATTAACTGAATGCACGTGTATAAGTAATAAGTTTATTTCTGAACAGAAAAAAGTGAAAGTTTAAAATTTTGGTGGTATCCTGTTGACAAACTGCACGATATACATTTATGCAGAATTATTGTTTGAACTAATTTTTTACAAATTAAATAACTCCATGGTATTAACAGACTTAACTATGATACCACAGCAGTGTAGCAATATGACGGATAATATGTACGTTCAGGGTCAAATTGGAATACCCATGATAAAACAGGAATATGCCGAGGACATGACGGACCATTTAGAAATGGACTTATCCAAAATGAAAAAGAAATCTCGAAAAAGATCTTACAGCAAGACATTTGATTCTGTATCGGAGGCGTCGTCCCACGAAAACTCGAATGACAGTTCGTCTTCATGTAGTGGAGAAAACAGCAAGAAAAAGAAAAAAGGACAATCAATGGAAGAAATCAATACTCAAAGATGTTTAGCAAATGTTCGTGAACGACAGAGGACACAAAGTTTAAATGAAGCCTTTTCACAGCTACGAACCATTATTCCGACGTTACCCTCAGATAAACTTAGTAAAATCCAGACACTCAAGTTAGCTTCCCGTTATATTGACTTTCTCTACCAAGTACTAAGAACTGATGACAATTGTGATAAAAATAAAGCCACAAGTTGTAGTTATGTGGAAGATGAGAGACTAAGTTATGCTTTCTCTGTTTGGAGGATGGAAGGAGCATGGGCACTGCCTGGACACTGATTTGTCTTACATTCTTTGGTTAGTATAAACTATAGAATCTAGAATAACCATCTTTCACTGTTATTGTAATATAAGATAATAACGATAATATCAATGTAATTTATATTGATAATATCATTTGTCTTAAAATCACATACATCTTTCACCCTACCTTAAACAGATACCTTTTAACAACAACAACAAACTTTTATTTTTCGAAAAAAAATATTTACATTGTAATGTTGAATTTTTGCTGTTTAGGATTCCAAAAGAGTTGTGTGTGTATAGTCAATGTAAACTAAATACACCCGCAGTCAACTAAAATCACTGAACAGAATGGATGGAATATGGTTGAATAAAAATTTCATATAAAGAGTATTTTGCATTCGCTTTGATAAATTTAACCTCTATTTGACCAGCACAATATCTAAACTTGCCATGATTTATCTAGAAAACGGTTACCCATATCAACAGATGCTGGGGTGAAAGATTTAAGATTTTATCAAACATATTACCGATATCATAAATATGATAAATAAATAATAAAACTGAAAGGATAACAATCAGATATAAAATATTTATATAAAATATATCGAATTATGTTTCACTTCTCAAAAAATAGGAATTTAAATTTAATTAGTCAGTACTCTATTACTGAATATATCTTGCTGACAGTCGTAAAATATGTTGGTAGATTGTGTCTGAAAAAAATAAGAATCCGTCTCTTGTGTAAATATCTTGTGCTTTATTAAAGCAAATAAAAGTAAAATGAATATATAGACAATGGTATCAGAAATGTGTCCAGGTTATTTATTAAAAACTAGTAGAAAAAATAAATATATATATATTCTTTAGATAAAAACGCTTTCATACTAAACTGAATTTTAAAAATTCATGTTTCAATGTAAATCTGATTGAGCTCAAATGTTCTAAATATTAACAGGAAAGGTTGTTAGTTCTAGAGAGTGGCCGCTAAATATTAACAGGAAAGGTTGTTAGTTCTAGATAGTGGCCGCTAAATATTAACAGGAAAGGTTGTTAGTTCTAAATAGTGGCCGCTAAATATTAACAGGAAAGGTTATTAGTTCTAAATAGTGACCGCTAAATATTAACAGGAAAGGTTATTAGTTCTAGATAGTGGCCGCTAAATATTAACAGGAAAGGTTGTTAGTTCTAAATAGTGGCCGCTAAATATTAACAGGAAAGGTTATTAGTTCTAAATAGTGACCGCTAAATATTAACAGGAAAGGTTATTAGTTCTAAATAGTGGCCGCTAAATATTAACAGGAAAGGTTATTAGTTCTAAATAGTGGCCGCTAAATATTAACAGGAAAGGTTATTAGTTCTAAATAGTGGCCGTTAAATATTAACAGGAAAGGTTGTTAGTTCTATTATTCATCAACATTGAAAGAAAGAGGCTGGACAGAAATATATAAAAAAAAAATGGTCTTTTTAGCACTAATAATCAACAGGTAGTTTACCATAATTTTAGAATGTCCTAGAAGTAGTACATACATGCAATTCTGGGATAAAAGATGCTGTTCTCAAAATGTTTTTTTGTTGTTGGTACAAACAGTCATTTTAGAGGCAGTTTCTGTGAATACGAGTATATTTATCTTCCAATAGAATACGTATGTTCGGCCTTGCTGACATAGAAACTTTTATTATTATTGTTATCATCATTATTATTATTATTTTTATTATTATTACTAGCAATGCTGATTTTTTTCTAAAGATGTTTCGATGATACGATTTTATTATTTTTTTGTTTATTATGGAACCCTGTATTTTGTCCACCAATATCCTCTTCAGAAAATAAGCCTTTGTTCCTTCTAAACGTCAAAATGTGCATTGATTATACTCTTTCAGTGGGATATACAGAACAACGAAAGCCGTGTTTCTTCACTTTATACTATAATCTTTACCACGAAATTCTTTTGATCTTTGAGCTCAGTGACAAAGTTAACATTAGTTCTGTACAACATCAATATAAAGAGAATAAAACACGAATTAATTCGACATGACACATGTATCTTTACCGGTAGATATGTAGACGAGATACACAATCATAATGCCGATTGATAATACTGATAAACACCAAAAACATTACGCCTTGTCCCTTAGAACATTTTAAAGTGAATACCATTTTGATTTTGTTTTTGGTACGACGGATGTCTTTCCATATTTCCGTATCCATTAAAATATATTACATGCATAGCAATGACAAGCTTGTGTTTACTGATGTTTAGTTTAACCAATGTTAAAAAAGGGACCAAAAGCCTGTATGCAAATACTATAGTGACAGGAATAAATAAATCCACCTAAACTAAATCAGTTAATAATTTAAGTCGACGTGCGGAGTTCGATTCCGTATCTAGTGCAGAAAAATCGAACCTGAAATCTGCCAATGATAAATATTTTCATGCTTCCTTTATAAAGTGCACACAAAAAATATTACCATTATATAAGTCAAAGTCAACAGTTAATGACTTAAACAATTGACCCATTCAAGTAAAAGAAACTTCAGGTGTAGTAAAAATTTGATTTCATTGTTTTGTACGTGGTTGTGTTCCATAACGCGGCTGTTGCTACCAGCGCAAAGCAAGCACCCGACTGTTTCACCCTTGGTTTTCTATCCCCTTTGTATTGATGTTCACTGATACGTAACTTACTGATTTTCTTTATGGAATATTGTGTAATATATTCTCTGTTTATTATATGAGATGCACATCTGGAAACTTTTGAAGTAATATTACTTCATGTATATACATACTGTGTAGTGAATGAATGACAGGCAAGAAATTAAGGATTTCTTTCTACGATTATTGGTTTTTCTTATTTTAACATCGCCCACAGAGCAAGAATGAATGCAAGAAGAGTTTTGGTACATGTCATTGCGACTACCACTTAAAAACCCAAAAGACATCTTATTATATATAATAATAACAGTGTAGTCATCCTATGTCAAACTCTAAATCGCCTTGATACGAGTTGTGAATTATAACGGAAACTAACAAAACCTTACAAAAGACATTACACAAATACAATTCGTTAAGATTAACAGTTATACCTGTATAAAGCAACAACAACAAAAAATGAGGAACAATTCCCATACTAATTGATTTATAAATATTATTGCCATAAAAACTGGGATATAATACGACTTTTTTTTTATCAAATTATTGTACTCATCTTATTTTTAGTAACAACAGTACTGAAGTTAGAAAAGGGAATTATAAATCCACTAATAAATTTGTAAACGAACAAATGATTGAGCAATAGCAAGCATAGATGCTGATGTAAACGTATTATAGGGTTTTATGGAATAACCACCAGGTACAATCGAAATGTGTTTAGGCATTTGTTATGAGCAGTCCTCGAGGGGCAGTCATTCTATAATCGGGGAAAATAGAACAAAAAGCCACTTTATTAGTTTAGTGCGTCCGAAGCGATTTTTTTTCTGGATTTACCATCATCAGAAACGCTCAAATCAAATGACAACTTAGTGTCAATAGACAACAACAACAAAAAAAACACTATTCTGGTAACAATCAGAGAATATGTAATATTTGTCAAAATCAATTATTCCACCATTACAACTTATCTGTGTTTTGTATCCTTCGATGTTGTTTTGTAATCATGTATACGGTACTATTTTCGTTGTAACAATATATAATAATAAAGTGTTTGTTGTTAGGGCAGTACTCCTTTATTACAATTTAATATAAAATTGACGAGATGTATTACCAAAGAAACAAGTATGTTAACTGAGAGCCGATTTCCTCAACATCATCAACTATGTATTTCTTAGACATGAAAGAAAATTACTTTTACATTTTTCAAGCATTTTCTTTGGCATTTACTTCTCAAGTTCTCAAGTGTCGTGACGCTCTTTTGCAAAGAAGACCCTCAGCCATCTGCCAAAAACATCAAACCGAGGACGCACATTTGTTACTAGAATGATTATTACTCTGACAAAACGCATCACTCTCTGTTTTTATCATTAAGATGATGCATTTCAAATTCTCCCATCATCTAGTAATGGCACAAGTCTTATTTCCATCAATTAACATTCAACAAAACGTACTGTAGGTGAAACGAGCACACCGTGCTACATCTATAGCGCTTTTAAGAAACAATATAATTAATGTGTTCATGTAGTAAAATATATTTCTAGAACTAAGTAAAAATGTTCATTTCTCTTGGGAAGAAACACATTTGTTTGATTTATGACCTTCATTAATCCATTTCATGTATACATCAGAAAAATTTATGGAATAATTAATAAAATGTCTTGTGGCAGTGACGCAATACATACCAAAGTTTATGACAGTCAGCTGATAGTTTGAAGTTTTTTTCCATATACATTGAGAACTTAAAATTAAACATTTTCTTCTCTGTTGTGTATTTGCATCACAGTTTGTGAATGTGATGAAATGATACACAGTTTTTTTTAATTTGAAAGATTGATATATAACTAAAAAAGTGTCAGATGATTCCTATTTACTTTACACAGAATTTCATACACCAAAAAAAGGGTATAACACAAACCAATAAGATTTGAAACATACAACTTTTGAAGACATCAATAATTCAAGATTAAACAATTGAATAACAGTCAAATTAAAACAAGTAAAAAGACAAATTCAGTATATTTAACCATGCAAGTGTTCAATAATTATATAAAACAAAAAAAATAATTAGATAAAAGGTCTATAAAATTGTCTAAGACAAGAAGGTAAGCATGGTTGTAATCCTGTGTCAACAGCAAGTAAGATAGCAGTATGGTACACGAGTACTATAGTATCTTTAAATGCAGTTGACACTAGTAGTTAATACCATAGGAACTGACCAGCATGTTAATGGGTATTAGATATATCACCGAAGGCGTTAGCCCGATGGGGAATATTTAATTTACAGCGTGATATTATGATAGTTAACTAAGTATGTTAATAAGAAATGAGGGGGTAGTGGACATTTTAGAAAACTGGTCGAATTTAGGATAAAGCCTGATAACTGCAGTTTCATCCAATTGCATTTATGACATCGGAATAAGAATTTTATTAGTTTAAAATCCAAACAATAGGATTGTTACTAAAGAAAAACATATAAATAACAAAACGATAGACAGAAAACAATACAAACATGTAGCATTGAAAAAATAAAAAATGTTAATATTTATTACAATACTATTTTTGACAACATGCCTCCTCTATAAAGTTATCAAGATGTAAACATATCATACATTTTAAAATGTACTCAGAAAATCAAACAGAAAACAAATAAGACTTCGATGTCAATTAAATCTTTTTAAGATGCATTTCAAGAAAGTAGACACATCATGTGAGAATATTGTAAACAACAAGGCGATTAACTGCTGTAATTGTACATATGACGCACCTTTTGTGGTTAGTGATTCAGAAATAAATCACGTCAACAATCAGTAGCTTTCAATGTATTTACCATTATCTCTTTGGTTTTTTCAGATTTTGACGAGGACATGGTTTTTGTCTCCAGCCTTTTATGTAACGGCGACCAGTTGTCATGACTACGGACCAATAGTTAAAAAGATGAACAGCCTTCTGAACGATGACGTGTGATAACGATTGTGAGATATGACATATTTAGTTAAGGATGATTGATAGACACAACTTACAGTTATACATCAGTGAAATAGTCCATTTCCGTTATAGTTTAGTAGTCTGCTACCGTACATGTCATTGCATGTCATGTAATAAATACTTTGTATAGAAATTACATGCTGCTGTTGCGATTAATGCAGTTGTGTTGGCTGGACAAGCTTGTCCCAAATATTGAACTTCTGACCAAACCTTACCCACTGACCAAACCATGACAAAAGAATCTCCCATTTTATGTGTGAGCATGTGTTCATTTTTGTCACTAATCATCATAATTTAACGTTGTTAAACTTTTAATATTTTTATTTATGAGGAGCAGTATTGACAATCCTTTTATTGTTTTTTTTTATGAGATTGAATGTTTTGTATAATTTATTTTTAATACAGATGATATGAACAATTGCTGTCTTCATTTTTTATAAGTGAACCTTTCTGTTATTGTTTGCGAAAAACAGGTGGTGAACATGTTCGGCTACAAAAAACAAATGCAAGTTACTATTAATGCTATTTTTTGTGGTGTTTCCAATTTTTTCTGCTTAACCAATTCACAGATGAAATTATAAAGATTGCGGACAAACATATCAAAATACCGTTACTGTTACTCAAACAAAAACAAAACGAACAAAAAGCACAAAAACCGCAAAAATACCCATAAGAACAAAAAAATCTATTTGATATAGAACCAACTCAAACATTTTATATCAAGTGCTCCGATGGGCCTATAGCGTATATCACGCTTCTTATATATTATTCTGACCTATCTCTTTGTTTTATCACGGGAATCAACTTATATTTTTGTACAGTTCTGTTAAAAACATTCATACTTTTTACACAGTGTAAAGAAGACGTCTGAAATAAATGAACATTTAGAGTTGTATTTTTGTTTGCATTTGTATTTCTTGTCAATGATCGATCGTAAGTCTAAGGTTCGTGGTCTAGCAATCATTGTTTAATCAGGCATTCTGTTGTCACTAATATTAAGACAGGAATCGGGTCTGGAGTTGTTTTGGGATTCATCTACATCTACCAAGTTTATTTATCTATATAAAGATAAGAAGTTGTGGAATGATTGCCAATGAGACAACTTTCCACCAGAGACCAAGGAATGTTGATGGAAGTAACTATAGGTGACCATACGGTCTTCAACAATGAGCGAAACACATACTATATAGTAAACTATAAAAGGTTTGTATATCATGCTTCTAGTATTTTGACCTTTCCGTTGGTTTTTATTTATTAGTGTATTGACACATTTTATCTCAGTGAATCATCAGTCTTAGACAACACAAATTAATATATAGGTATCAAAATGCCCTTCAACAGTTATTATGACATAAGATCATACCGAAATCTCTGTCCTGTGAAGAAAAACCAGCGAATTTAACTTAAGGTTCATTAATTTGTGTAATAAGGTTTAATCTATTCAATATTCAGCAAAACAGGTAGTACCTATAAACTATACATCGATATATTGAAATATAACTGTAGGTAAACAGTACGACTATTCCGTTTCTTCAGAAGAGAACAGCCCTCACTAATGTTTATGGAAAGGATGGAGGCATTGTTCAGCAGAATGTTCAAGTTATATATTTTACGAATGTATATAGGATTTTAACACCTGTATAAATGTTATCTTTTTTGTCAATGACATCGGAATTCTTTACAAACAAATAACCCTGAACCTATCAATGATGATTATGTATTGTTTACTTTTTTCCGAGTTTAATTTTGTCCATTTGGGCACACTCTACAAAATAGCTCTCAACTGCTATGCAAACTGTTAAATGGATAATATAACTGAGAATTTTGAAAAGACATGGTATAGCCAATTTCTGATATATTTGTTTCAAGCAGAAGGTTAAAATCAAAAACCAGATGCAACCTAATCCTAGTAAAATTGGAAAATAAAAGAGGTAAATTGACATGTTTTAAAATATTTTCCCTTTTTTTTTTTTTTTTTTTTTACATATATCCATAATATCGCAATTTTTATACATTATTATTGTATAAAAATCTTGTTTATCAGTTTTTACAGGCTTTTGTTAAAGTCTAGATCACACAAGAACCCTTAACCAAAACCAATAAGTAAATGTATATGTTAAAAAACAGCTTTACATCTCATAGGATTGTAAGGGCTATATATGATTAAGAGTTTCTTCGTTATATATTATTTTTTATAAATACTTGAAATTTGCCGAAATCGATCAAGACTGCAATTTTGTGCTATCTTTAAATTTCTACGATTTTGATACGTTTTCTAAACACAAATGCACATAAATGAAGCAGTGATACCTACTATGAAATTAAAAAAAAATGAAAGCCTTTTTAAAAATGGCCCTGATAAGGGATATTGATCCTACCTCTTTGTCTTTTCCATTCTAAAATTTCGAAAATAAATCCAACCTGTTTAAACGAAAATGAAATAATTTTGATATAATTATGACAACAACAAAAAAAAAAAGGGGAAGATTCACAGAAGATTGCTCACAAGTCGAAGAGAGACGGAGAACTCTTAATTTTTCATTTATTATTTTACATACAGATGCATTCAATTATAATTGTACAAAGAGGAATTTCAATTCAATTCAATATTTCATGTAAGTCTCATGATCATCTCTCAATAATATACATTATTTTATTACATGAATGATACTTATTAAATCGTGATAGGATGTAAATCTGTATCACTTTCTTAAAAATATGATTTTATTTTTACCAGATAAATATATATAAACCCCTAAACATACAACATTCACAATGAATTCCTTCTACCATCTGCACTACAATTCCATTGCTTTTTATTTCTTTTGAACTCGCAACTCACGTAGTTCATTCGTAGATTTTTATTTGTGAAACTAAAACCTCTGTTTCTTGTCGCATACTAAACATATCTTTTGCTCGATGTGTTCAAAGAAAAAATTCCTCCTCTGGTAGGAGGTAATGAAGCGCAAACTGTTTTAATTATTTAAGACAAGAAACGGTACACAAAGCAAAGGAGAAAAAGAAGAGTGCAAATACTTAAAGCATTATCTTATCTTATCTTATCTCGACAATGTTTTTTTTTTTACATTTGTGACTTTTTTTTTTTGAAAACAAAATTTATTAGTATATGTTTCAGATCTGATTGTATCTTTTCACGGACACTTTCCAGTAACATTATTCTTCTATGATATAACTGCCTATGTCTTAAAAAAAGCTGCTTAAAAAGAACGTACAAATAGTTCTTCAAAATAAATGAAGTTTGATGCACGTATCCATGCTGCATCTCTTTACGTTAACATAATTCCGATTTTGATATGATAATAGAGTACCACCCATGTCCCACAAAATAAAGGTTCAAGACGAAAACGGTTTCCTATTTACATTGGGTTAAAGAATAAAGTCTGACTATCAAAATATTTACTAAACTCCAAACTGTTCGAAAAATCATATCTTTAGAAAACCTTTTTAAGGACAAATATATCAAGAACTTTTAAGTTTTTACAGTTAAAGGTCCTGTATTTTTACCAGTAATTGCATGTCAAATGTCAAGTTTGTCGTTACTAGGTTGTTATGATAGATTTATCGTTGTTTTATCGAATCTTTTAGGAAATCAGTAAAATTTAAGGAATAACTGTTTGGCATTAAAATGTCAAATATTTAATATGCATGTTAATCTCCGTGAATTATCACTTCCAAAATGTTATCAGATGCAATGCTTAAGTCAAGTCAGTCGAGAAATCAATTTATCCTTGACAGATCAATCAAATATGACCTTCAAATAGCTGGGATGATACCAATCAATTAAGTCAGAACTAACAAAGCATCCCGTCAATTATTATCACTTTATTATATCACGTGAATCAAGATTACGTCGTGACCAGTCTCTGTAAGAATCCCTGCATAGTAGAGGTACTGATAAGTATTTAAATATTTCCATGGAAATACAAACAGTTACGATATTTCAAACTTCTTAGCAATGGAAGTTTTAATGATCGAATACTGCAGACATTGAAAATTTGATTCAGAAAATAGTAAATGCCTTCTTTGTAAAAATGAAGTAGAAGATGTGTAACACTTCCGTATAAAATCTGAAAAGTTCAAAACTTACGTTTACAACAAAACAAATTCAGGCAATGATTGTTAGGTGTCAGACCACCAATTACTCCCTCAAATTTAGAACGTATGTAAAAGTAGTCCTACTCTGACACAAAATAGTGCTTTTGATGTCCTTGTTTACTTAAACTAACCAACAAATTTGCAGAAATGAAACTTTTGATGAAAGAGAAATATATTTAGATCATTTTGAGCCAAAATTTACTTGTCTATGAGTTTGCATTAAAAATTCAGGATTAATGCGCTTCATAGTATACTAATTTAAGATTCCCAGAAAACCAGGAGTTATTTTGGTAGTACCTGTGTTTCCAAGATCAGATTTTTCTTATAAGATTTTAAACATGGGTTGAAAATTGGCATGTAGAAAGGTGATACTTGTACTATTCAGGATATACTTGGTTTCTATGAAGTTAAACTTAAGGTAAAATATATAGAAAGCTGTGAAAATTGCAAAATTTGGTTGAACAGATAGGGATTTTTAATTGGTGGTCTGACACCTGTTAAAAGTCATATTATTAATACTGTAAATTCAGAAAAGTTTGCGTGCACTTTCACTTCCATTTCTTTCAGATTTTGATATTATTAGCCATTTATGAGTGATCATGAGGTAAGTTAATTTCCCATCAAAGGCATAGCATTAGTGAATTACATAAAAAAATTATTAATTTAATAAGAAGTTTGGTTAAATATCAAGATTAAGTGATTTAATTTTTCATTTCTCCCAAAGAGAAAAAAGTATATATATATTGATACAGAAACATTTATTAATTACTGTTTGTTTTTATTTTCGACATGTCGTATTAGTTTGTACTGTATTTTGTAGTACTGTTGTTTGTTGTACTGTTGTTTGTTGTACTGTTGTTTGGTGTACTGTTGTTTATTGTACTATTGTTTTTTGTACTGTTGTTTGTTGTACTATCGTTAGTTGTACTGTTGTTTGTTGTTTCATTGTTTGGTGTACTGTCGTTTGTTGTACTTTTGTTTGTTGTATTGTTGTTTGTTGTACTGTTGTTTGTTGTTTTATTGTTTGGTGTACTGTCGTTTGTTGTGCTTTTGTTTGTTGTACTGTTGTTTGTTGTACTGTTGTTTGTTGTACTGTTGTTTTATTGTTTGTTGTACTGTTGTTTGTTGTTTTATTGTTTGGTGTACTGTCGTTTGTTGTGCTTTTGTTTGTTGTACTGTTGTTTGTTGTACTGTTGTTTGTTGTACTGTTGTTTTATTGTTTAATGTACTGTCGTTTGTTGTACTGTTGTTTGTTGTACTGTTGTTTGTTGTACTGTTGTTTGTTGTTTTATTGTTTGTTGT